GTGAACGTAGTTTTCCTTGGCATCGTTTATATAATCTGAGGCCAATTTCTGATGTCAATGTGACCTCGCTGAACTCGAAGGGGTATTTTGAGCTCTGAAATGTTTTCACACTCCTCACACGACTATGAGTCAGTTGCAGTTTGGGGACAAAATATCCTCATTTTAGTTATTTTCATGCAGTTGTCAGGAAGCTGGCAGTCAGTGTGGTATGTGGATTGTGGAACGGATATGCTTCTAAACTAGGACAGGGATGTCATTCCTTTGAATTGACATTGAAGCAGTACGTACTTTCTCTGCACGACAGTTAAGTTTTATATTAGGTGTCTGGCTATTATACTTGTTCTTTTATTTACGACGGCATTTTCTATCGAAACTTAGTACCATGGATAAGGGCTGAGATACGTCTTATCCAAGTTAGTACCTGCGGCTACATCCCTATATTTTAACAAGAATATTCATTGTTCGTTCAATGTTCATATGCTGACGCTAGACAATGCGCTCAAACATAGACCTCTGTACGGTGTACAGAGGTCTATGGCTCAAAAAACCCGTCAGTTTCTGGCTAGCAGCAGATTTCCAGGAGTGACTTGCATGCGTGCTCTGTTGGCGTGTCCGTCTCGCCGGGTTTGTTCTGCTCTGTTACTCGGGTCAGGCCGGGGTCACCAGCCGTGCCCATACATTGTGGCTGTGCAGCGCCGGGCCGCCGGCTGCGTCGCTCGGTGTGTGCGTCGTTCTTTGTCTGTCGGTAATTGCGCGTGAGGGCGGGGTGCGCCGGCGTCCCCTCGGCACCCCGGCGGCCTCATCCTGCCCGCGGGCGCGGGCGGCGGTATGTGGGCGCTGTGGACCGGAGAGGCGCCGCCGGCCGGATTCCGGCGCTGAATGGCCGGTCCGCCAGCTGCCGAGCCGGCCCAGGCTCTACTGCGCAGTTCGCTGCGTCAACAGGCGCCGCAGCGGGCAAAGCGGGCGTCGGGACGCCGCGTCCCCGGCGGCCGGCGCTGGCCGTCCGGCCGTACCGGGCCGGCGCGGCGGGTAATTTCCACTGGCCGCTGCACGGTCGGCGCAGTGGCTCGGCCGACGCTGCGTGGCGCGCTGACGCACACGCGTGGGGCGTGCGGAGGCGGCCGGCCCGCTCAATACGCCGCCACCGCTGCCGCTCGCCTACTGCGTCACTGCCGAACGGCTGAGCGTCAACATGTTGATGCAGTCCTGCCGAAAAACAGCTCAACCTCACACGTGGGCCCGCGGCGAAAGTTCAGCACGACGCCGATTTGGTGCGCTATTTCAGTAGATCCTGAAAAACAAGCAGAATATTTTACGGGTTTGAAACTGCATGCTAATTGAAAACAAGGTTTATTTTTCATAGCACGTGGCTAATATCTCTAAGAAGATCGGTAGTGTGATGTCCTTGCCAGACGGTATACCAGTACAGAGGTGAAGCCTCATTCAAACCCTTTGGGTCCTCTTGAACCCACACCCGTCTGTGGCGCCGGAGGTCACCTTCAATGCGATCGCCAGTGGGGAGTGCCCTCAGACCAAAGGCATCCGATCGTGAGGCCATAATCCCGGTTTGTAGGCTTTGCAGGCTGCACGGTGCATGCGAGGTGAACTGAACCCATGGCACGACTGCCCCGGGCCGAATGCCGCACCGATCGGCCATTTGCGGTGGATATTTACGTGCGACGTTTCGTGGAATCGATGGTCTGTCGGCCGCCCCGGGCTGGGAGTCCCGGCCCGGCCCCGGTGACTTGAGCCGGGCTCCGGCGGTCCCTGGCACGCCAATGGTTCTCCGGCCCATGGGTAAACACCGGCGTCAGACGGCCCGCAGCTGGTTGGGTGCCGCGCTCGAACCGAACAAAGAAAGGGGCTGGTCGTCTGTGTATGTGCGCTTCTGCGTGACGTGCTCTGCGTACGCACGGATTTTGTGGAGTCCTCCGTCCTGAAAGCGGGAAAGTAGTGGTGGCACATGTGCCATATCATTATAAACGGTTACTTTCAATAAGAACATGCAGTTTCCGAACTTTGCCAAGCAGTTGTCAGTAGTGTGTTCGCGGTTGGTTGTACTGTCCATCTACTGCTTCTCCATTTTTGTGCCTATTTTCACCCGAATTTCAAATGAATGTTGGCTCGAAACCATCTATTATTTTTTCTGAGAATGAAATCAAACCGCAGTCTCACTGTTCGGAAGCCTACCTATAACCACAAACTTTTATATAGAGAAAGATATCTATGGTGTAACTTCATTGCGGTGTGGTCGCTTTGATTGCCTCAGCCGGACGACCGGCTCTTCTGTAACCGTCCATGGCCGCTGGTCAAGTTACGCTGACAACCCTTCCATCAGTCAGCAATTCTGTAACGTGGATGTTTCTCGAAGCCGCTGAACCGGTTGTAAGTTGTGACCTCGGTGATTCGTCCGTGTGAGGACGCTCGTGTCCGTGTGCTGCGCTGGAAGGGTGATACAACCACGGCTCAGGGACATAGCGAGCTCAGCTGATAGCACAGCGACTCTGAAATGTGATGAACCATGGCTCATAGGACGCGAACGATAGTCGATATTGATTAAGATTCTTTGTTGGGTCACCATGGCACGAACACTTCTTATCGACTAATCGGTGCTTTAGCGTTCAATTGAATTAACCGTACTGCCTTTTGAACAAAATTATCTTACCGTACTAGTTTGAGAATATTATAAAATGTCCCCACGTGGTCGATGTTCTTTGTTCGCGGTTTGACCGTCTCCGTCCCTGGTGGCGCCGCTCGGGTCGGGTCGGGGCTGTGGACGGCCATTTGATCCCCTGATCGGGGTGCCCGTAGTCGGGTGCTCAGATGTCCGGTAATCCGGGCCGCCACCCAGCTGACTGGGAGAGGGGGAGGGGTGTCCCCTGTCCACCGGTCGGCCCATTGACGGTGGCCCCGTTCACTGAGGCGGCGCCCCCGTCACCGGCAGGCAGTCCCTTCCGGCCCCTCCCGGCGGGGGACCGGCGTCCGTAACAGAGGGGTGGCTTATCAGCTGACCCAGGGGGCCTCGCCAGCTGAATGGATGTTATCTGGATTTTTCCACTGCTGCAGCTGATTAGAGACGTTGTTATTCGTGCTCGTGACCACTGACCAGAGGAAATTTAGGTAATAAGCGTCCATCAATGGTGATGGTCACTGGTCAGTAGATCTCATTGAGTCCTATACCTGGGTATATTGTATTAATCGCACTCGTTAATTCTTTCTGTTTTTACATTTTGGAGAAAGATATTGTTCGCTATTTGTCTCAGAACACCGCAGATGTTCATTCGAAGACACTTCCTTCGCAGAGCGTTTCTTCCGACGATTCTGCTTCTCTAGTGGTAAATGGATCACTAAGAGGGACTTTTTTCCTGAATTGTGCATTTTCTGGAATTGGGTAGGTAATGTCATCCCGGTCCTGAATAAGTGATAGCAAATGTTGAACTCCAAAAGAAATGTCAACGGTTTTGTTGTTTAACTCTATGAATACCATTGGTTGGTCGCTAGACCATTGTCCATGGGCTTCGGGCAGTGGGCAATGTTGCTGTTCAACAATTTTTGCTAAAAAAAAAACTTCATTGCCGTAATAGCATTTGCTTTGGCATTGAAAACGCCGCTTCACTAGCAGAAGGGGTCCTTGGGATGAAAGCTTTCGTTGATACGACCAAGTGCACCAATGGAATCTGCAGCAAAACTCGCCAAGCAAAGTTCACCAAGCAACTGTGACGCCGGAGCAAAGGTGAATTTTTCGACCTCATAGCCCATAGGCGCCATAGGTAAGTCAATGGGAGAAAATCAAACCGCGCCCTTTGGAGCAAAAATCGCACTTAACACATTTAAGTTTTTAATTCGTTTAGTGCTTGCTGAATGTAAGGCGTTGAAATCGTTTGTTTTTGAATGACCTCCTTACAAAATTATACTTTTCATTCATGTATTTTTGTTTTAGATGAATTTTCGGCCAAAAATACATGAATGAAAAGTATAATTTTGTAAGGAGGTCATTCAAAAACCATTAAACATTTAAGTTTTGTTTGAAACCGTGACTCCATTCCCGTAGCGTAGGTCATGTAAGGTCATGGAGGGTCACAACACAAATAAGTATGACAATAACTTTTGAAATGAATTTCATGGGGCGATTAAAACACCTTAGATGTGTTCAGGTCAACCATGACGATCGGTCGATATGCAGCGTGACGTTTTCGGGTAAGGTCGTGACCTTGAACTTAGGTCAGATTGTCAAGTTGACCTTCAGTTCATTCGACGCGTCTCGACGTCAGAAGGGCGATGCGGTAAAATAAGCGTAAAAACTTAATATCAAAAGTTATTAGAGAAAACTATTTTTTTCACACAAAAAAGGAAATCTATTTAGACAGACACTTTTTACGACTACGATTTCAGTCCGGCCTTTTTTGCCCCGGCGTTCCTCAAGAGGCTTGTTAGCCGCCTTAGGTCTAATCTGGGTACTCATTAGTGAAAGAGCTTTAAAATGCCTATCGAATGCGTTTCACCACGCGATCTAGCTTTATTTGTGCACTTTTAACGTGAATTAAAAAAGTAAATTTTGGGGAAATTTGACTTTGATTTTCTTTGCTAACCTCGCCTAACCTAACAAATGTTCGAAGTATTTTTTTTTTCGCTATTTTTCGTGCCTTTCCAATGCCACAATCGTCTACATTCGAACTTTTGCAATTCCCACTGTCCACTGATATCCTACGTGCAGGAAGCAATCATTTCACAGGAATGCTTTATGCTAAGCCACGCTTTTGAGTTTTGATTTTGTTGGTGATGGGTAGGGCTTTTGTTCAAGCAAAATATGTCTTAATAATTTTGACAAGGTTAAGTGAACTTGTTCTTGCTCATTGTACCTACAATGGCAATTGACAACCTTAATTCAAAATGCAGTTTTCAGTAAATATATCTTTGAAATGCTAACACGCCGCTCAAATGTTTCTAATGAATAGCACCAGCGTGTTACTGTTGTTGACTGTGTCCGTTTGTTTCAGTTGAGATTGTTTCCCTGCGCTGATGAGCCACCGTTGGTGCCTGGGCTTCGTGAACACGCAGTGAAGGTGCCCTTTCTTTGTCCGATGCTGCCGCCGGGACCCGCCGCCGCCGTCCCTCCCAGCGTCCATGGGGCCGGGGTGTGCTACGGTTTCAGTCCGACCTTTTTAGCCCCAGCGTTCCACCCCGCTTGGGCCCCTGCTGCTGGGGCCCGTCAGCGGCCAGGGCTGAGGAGACGACCCAGCGACCGGCACCCGGGTGTTATTATTGGGCCGGCCTACGTGAAACCTCACCAGCCGTGCTAGCTGCACGCTGATTGGTCGAGCGACGCTCCGCCTCTGACGTCAGAGGGGCACTCGGAATGACCTTGCCGCGCGCTAGAAAGCGGGCACAGTGCAAGAGAGACTAGCGAGCTAGAAGGTTTAGTGGGAGTGTGGCTGTTTCCCACCGTCCACAAGGACAAAGGCTGTGTCACCAGTGTGTTTGCTGGTCAGAACACTTGGTTGAGCGTGAAGAAATTACTGGGTGAAAGGCACAAAGCACTACGGCCGTTCCTGTCTGTGCCACCCTGTCTCTAGTCCAGTGCGAGAACCAAAAGAAGCGATCATATCAAGACTTGGCACTCGAAGCCTCGCGCCGAGAGAAGTGGCTGAATCTGTCTGTCTGACTGTCGCATACTGTCGAGATCATCATCATGAAGTCCGAGGTGATGGCCGCGTCCGACTTCATCGTCAACCTGCTGCGCATGAGCAGCCCGGGCAGCCTCAGCGAGCGCGAGCTCCTCCGGTTCCGGGACACGCTGGCGCTGGTTATGCGGAACCACTACCACAACCACTGGTTCCCCGAGAAGTCGTACAAGGGCTCCGGCTACCGGTGCATCCGCATCAACGGCCAGATGGACCCTCTGGTGGCGGCGGCCGGCGACAGCTGCGGTCTGGACCGGGTCTTCCTGCGGTCTCTGTTCCCCAGCGAGCTGACGATGTGGGTCGACCCGCGCGAGGTCTCCTACAGGATCGGCGAGAACGGCTCCATCTGCGTCCTCTTCGACGAGCGGGTGGAGCGGCCCCGTGCCGACGGCTGCAAGGACATGGTGCGACCGGCCTACGGCGGCTTCGGCGACCAGTGGTCGACGTCCGAGCCAATGTCTGCCTGCGCCTTCAGCTAGGGCCCTCTCCGTCTCGCATCCTGCCAGCCATAGTGTGATATGATCTCAAGCAAAGTGGTTATTATTGAATGGTGCTAGTGATAACGGAGCACCAGGGCATGTGAGGCAATGTACCCCTGGGTCATTCCGTGTGAACAAAGCAGCTGTCATCTCGCCCCCATATCCCCCTGACCCCAAACTAAGCTGGGACATGACGAACGCGGAACCCATAAAAATAGTAAAACACTGGAAAAAGCTATATGCAACCAAGTCAAGTGATAATGTGTCCGCGCTCGTTCGTGTCCCGGAGTGGTTCGGGGTCGAAGCATCCGAGGACCTCTCGCCCCCCGCCGCCGCTGTAGGTGCCGCGTGCTGTCCATTGGGACGGCCGCCGCCGCCCAGTGAGCTTTCTAAGTCATCCGCCGAGGCGGGCCGTCATGGTTGCTGGCGACCAAAATGGTACATGCCAACCGAGTTCAAATGTATTTGAATTGTTGTTGACATAATTTATTTTGTGCGAACATGCGAGGCCAAAGTGTGCACTGAAAGGCAAGAAGCATGTGATAAAGGAATCCTCTTGGACCTTCCGATTCGCGGGAGTGATGTCATCGATGCTTGTTCTCATCCTCATCGTTCTTCATGGCTGAAAGTCGCCTGCCGCCGGCCCGTGCCGTGGGGCTCATCTCAGGTCGTTAGTGACCCGCAGGCGGACCGGCGGCAAGCGATGTTTGTTCATCGGCATCACTCAAAGGTAAACTCTCTCACCTGCCTTGTCATTTCCATTAATTCCTGTTCGAAAACCGAAAAAAGAAAACCGCAAGTACAAGTCGACTTCGGTCGGTTCTTTGCACAATCATACATTATGGTTCGAAGGATGGTGCAGATAAACCCACGTATTTTATGTATAAAACAGAGAGGTACTTAGTGCGACAACTAGTGTAAGTCACCCGAAGTTAAAAGGTACAAATAAGTCGATCATAGCCTGTGATTGGTTTCGCCACGCTAGTTTCTCCCTTTCAGCCGCGCTCTGTCGGCTGCTTTGTTAGCTTTACCAAGTTCACAGATTGACGCGTTCGGGGCGTGCCTGTGTTTTAACCGTCGTGCAAGAGCCCTGTATATAGTGGTCCTTTTCGTTGGCTGTGGAGTGCTCCTGGGATGGCCCGAGCCGGGGCTCACCGTGCACCTGCAAGACGCTTCAAAAATTGTATTTTGTTCGCCTCCGAGAGTCCGCTGTGTCTAGGGTGTTTTGTACAGAAATACATGCTAATTCTGCAAGTGCATACGGTCGTGTCACTGGTTGAACGGGGAAATGAGAAGGGAGGGATGGAGGGAAATGTCTCGAATGACACGGGTTGATGATTCAGACGAAGCTAGTTTGCCACGGAGTTGCGAGTAATTGGTGCGGCTGCAGCACAGGTTCGCTGCTGAGATGATGACACTGGACACGGTTAGGCTAAGATTCGACGGCGGCATATTGACACCATATGTTCTATCGTAGAAACGCACACAGTGGGACTGGTAGCTAGAACACTGCCGATATCGATGTCGGGAGGTTCATTTTGTAGAGCATCTGGTGATCATTCCGAAGAGCGGGATGGCGAGAGGCACTCTCCGGCAGTGATGAAGCATCGGGCAGCTGTGCTACCAACTGGAGCACAGCTCGAATGGCCAGTCATATAGGGAGAAATTGAACGGCTGACACGAGCCGAGGGACTGGAATGTCGATTATAGGACTGGCTTGCCTAGACTGTGTGCCAACTGCCAGTGGCCGAAGAAAACTGTAGATTTGGTTTCGGAATCCGTGACGTATGCTGATGAAATAGCATGTTGATCAATAACATTTCCCTTTGTCGCGGTAAATTCATGGTAAATATTTCTTCTAAAGAGGCTCGAAGGTTTTCCACTACACATTTTTTGTTCGATGGTAGACGATAGCACTAACAAAGTGGTTTTTCGTTAGTGATAGCCTGTGGGATTTTCCACTGTGACGTCACTACCTATCGTTCATGAGCAGCTCTCGAACTGCGCAGTACCGTCCAGGATATGTGCCCATATATGAGTTCAGTACCTGACATCATCCTCATTATAAATGGGTGCATAGTACACTTTCAAGTCGTGATGCTTCATACGTCCTGAACGAGCGTCTATGTGAAGAACTATATGTAACGTGCTATCTTACGGAGCCATCTTACATCGTGATCTTTGGCTATACTTTTGAGACCTCCAGACCACATTTTGATTAAGTCCGTTCCAGCAGTTTGTATTTCTAAAAATGAGGGCGGCATAAACATGTCAGCTTATGCTAAATGTTGTGCATCAGCATACACAACTGTGACGTCGTCGCAGCCATACTGTGGCGTCCTGTTAAATCAACAATCTGCCCCAACTAAGGAGACCGGGGACTGCTCTAGAAATGCCATTGGGGATTGTGCCTGGTGATATTGCAGTCTGAGTGGAGTTTATTGTCCTGAACCCCTTACACCAATCTACCCGCAGCAATGGACGAATGTTTGTGTTCTTTGTTTGTATGTCTGGCGATCTTACCGACCCGGCTCCCAGTTCCGGCAACATTGACCAAATGGTGTGGACATCGGCAGACGTGCTCTCGAGTCCTCGTGTGCCCTGCTGTCTGTGAGCTTATAGATAGTGCCCTCCGACCTCCCACGCGCGGCGCTGGCACTCTCCCGTCCGCGCTGCAACGATTGCAACATCCGGGAAGGGGCTCTCTAAACCGGTCAGCCGGCCGCTCCCTACTCCGTGCTCCGCTCGAGCCGTCCGACCGGCCCCGTGCCGTGGCCTCGGCCCGACCGGCCGGCCGCGGACGGAGCGGCGCTGGACGGCCGGCCTCTGAGCGCCGCCATTGTGTGTCCACTGCATACAGCGAGGCTCGGCCGGGCCCCGCTCTCGCTGGCCCCTGATAGATGATTTCAGCTGCAGTAACGCGCTAGTATGTATGCTGGGCTGCTGCAGTACATCATGGCCCACTCCTTATGGAGTCAGATGTATTCCATCACCGATAACTGGCATGTGCCAGTATAAACCGGTACCTACATCGTGTCCCAAATCAGAGGATCCATCTGAGCTGTCGTCTTCTCACGTTGAACCGTCGCGGTACACGGTCGCTGCCAACCAGGCTAGCCTTCAGCCGTGCTCCGCTTTCCACCCCTGAGAGCGCTCGCTGCCGCTGAAGGATTTCTGCCTGGCGACTGTTCCGCTCCACGTCCGTGGCCTCCACGGCTGCGGGCTCAGTTTCAAGGAGAACGGCCGCTGACGGCGGCTGGCGCACACGGTGAAAGCCTGTACGGCCGAGAGCTCGGTCCGACCGCCTAACCACCGCTGTGGAGAGCGCGCCCATCACCGTGTCACCGACACCTGGCCTGACCCGACCGCGGTGACCTTTCCCCAGCTGACCTGACCTAGCGACCTTTCCCGACGGCCCGATCGCAGCCGGGCGGCGCCGCTCGCCAGCTCAGCGGTTTCTCATTTGACGGCCCTCCCGGGACGGGGTGGTCTGGTCTGTCAGTCCGAACTCCGAACGATTCGTTCTCGTCAGCGAGCGAGCTGGACCGTTCACCCAGGCTGCTGCCGGGCAGACCTGGACGGCAGAGGCGGAGTCAGCCACGATCCCTCGGTAGGCTGGACCCTGGGCGCGCCTCTGCCGCTCGACAGCGGGTTCTGTGTATGACTGGCCGTACGATCCACGGCAGATGTCGGCTCTGGTCCACTGGTCTGCCAGACGCGGCCGGGTCTCTGGTCTTGGTCCACCGCGCTGAGCGGACCCGAACGGTGCCGCACACGCCGCGGACACAGCCGCCGGCAACAGCGACTTGTAGCGATACGCTGCCATTCCCAGATTTGTGCCCAATATGCCGTGACATGACTGGTTCTGTCGATAAATGGTCGGTTTCCCAATGCTGCCTGCCACGGAATATGGCCCGTTTTCTGACGAATTTCGCCGCAATATGGTGGCAATATGGTGGGTGACTGTCGTCAGGCGAGTAGGACAGAACTCTGGCCTTCAACTCTAGCCCTACGTAGTAAAATTTGAACCTTACCCTTATCGCTATCAGCATTCAGCCATGAACTGCGCATTCAGCTAAATAAACATTTAGTGCGACGTTGCAATATTACTGAGCCCTCGCTGTATGAAGCATTTCAATGTTATGTTCGTTGTTCATTGTTCAATGTTCATCCTCTTTTTATGGGTGGCCATGCTCCAATTTGATGGACGCCTTACATTGCTGCGCATATGCCAGACACTGTCGGTCGTTGTATACTGCTGGATGCCGCGTTATGGATGTCGGACCGTATTTGGCATTGGCTGGCCGGCCGTGGGGCCGCGTCTGGCACCGTTCCTGCGCCGTGCGCCGCGGCCGCTGGTCGGCGGCCATTATTAGCGCTCGACTGGGCCGATTGAGGGCCGCGCCGAGCCACCATTAGTCTCTAGGTGGGACGCTAGATCGCGTCTCCCGGCGACGCTCCGAGAAATAATGGCCGCCGCGGAGCGGGGCCGGCCGGTGCGCAGTGGGAGCGGCGGGGTCACGGCTGGCCGGCCGGCGGCGCTCCCCGGCCCGTATACGCCCGGTAATAGGCAGTACATGCGCCGGCAGCGGGCGGGGGTGCAGGTGATGTCACCCTCCACCTACCGCGCCCCGCGGGCTGCGCTGCTCACCGGAATTAATGCACGGGAGTGGCGTGCACGCTGCGTGGCAAACCGTGCATTCAAACAGCGCTCAGTGCTCGACGCCCGCAGCCGGGCCGCTCGGTAATGGATGCTCATTTCAGCGGCTAATTTCGTCGTCCGCCAGCGTCCGTTTCGCCAGGTCCGGCCATTAAATCACAGAGTGGTCGCTCTAGGAACGCCCCGGGCTCCAGCAGAATGGTCGAACGACCCACCTCGACTCACGGACTTAAAGGGACACTCCCACCTTAACATTAGTTTTGAGTTGAGATAGCCAAATTGGTGGCCATGGCCTGCAAATACCGGTTTGGGCACTCACAACATCGAAAAATGCTTTAATTCGAAGATATGGAATTTCAAACTTGCAGTTTTCGGATTCTAAGGGGCTAATGCATTGGAATGCCCCCTTAGAATTTGTGACGTCAGCGGAGATCTAACGATTTTTAAATCTTAGACTAAAACCATCGTTAACACGTGGTGGTATACGCTGCTTTGCGCGCAACGTCTGCCACACTTTAAGGCTGCCAAATTATTGCTTCCAAATAAAGTCGCTAGTAACAGGGGAGATCCCAAAAAGTAAACAAAAGTAAAAGCCTAATATCTTGAAAACCAGTGAATATTTTTCGGTGAAATTTGGTAGATATTCGTTTTCGCTCTTTCTTAACCAAGGGACATCACTTTCATGCCAATTCATTAACTTTTTTGAAGGTGGGAGGGTCCCTTTAAACGTACCAACCTGTTCTCAGGTCGGCCCGGGTTCGACCGGTATCCATGCCGAAAGTGGGTACTTGAGCGGCCCGGGCGCGGCCTAACTAAACCTCGAACGGCTCCTTGCGGTATATTCTCGGAGCGAGATCGCCTCGCAGAGTGGATTGCACACACTTGGGGAAAGTCGCGTCGCAAAACGTGCTTTTTATCGCGCTGCTGATCTCTACAGGAAAGTCGGTCTCGTCTGGCCAGTAGCCGCCCCGGCGTACTATGAACTGGGATTGTGCAACGCCCACTATCCACCTACCTTCTGTGCACAGTGAACAGCGCCCGCCGTATCTGTGAGCGCAGCACCGTGTCGACGGGGCCGCCGCCGAGCGTGAGTCATCCACTGCGTGGGAGCGAGCGTGGGCGCTGAACCGTATCCAGCACAGTGCCGGGCGGTGGCCACGGCGCTGGCCGGTGACCGGTGCTGGAGACCAACACAGCTCTCAGCGCTGGGCGTGGTCGGCACAGCGTGGAGCGTGACCAGCAATAACGGCAGCCATGGCCAGCGACATACGCATTGCCGTGGTCCATGGTCTCCTTACCAAGTTCCGTCGCCGCTCGTTTGTATGTGCAGTTGCATGCCCGAGTACCCGAGTGTCTGTGTCATTGCATGGTGATACAGGCAGATATGAAACAGTCAAAGCCCTGCCGACCATTGCGACGTTGAAATGTCAGCGGCCAGACTGAATCATGGCTGCTACGTCCTCGGGCTGAATGTCGAGGTCAGCTGCTTGCCGGACCTAAACAGTGCAGAAGGGTGATCGCATCCGTCACACACCAGGAACTGTCAACGTGACACGTTTTTGGGCACGTGTGTCGTTGGCAAGTCACTTCTATAACTTC